ACTCTAGCTCGGGAGGCTGCCTGATTCGTGAATCATTCTTTGCTCAATTAAATTCTGTTACATTTAATTTGTCTAAGGTTTTTCTTTTAACACAAGTTTCCATGTGATACGGATACTCCTGATCTGGGGACCACAGTTGGAGGATGACTGATCCGTATGACTCTTTTGTGATGCTTTATACTCCTAGGATATCTTGATCCCTTCTCAGCACTCTCTGTTTACTGCACATAAGAACTGTAGCTTAAAGAGAGAGCTGAAAATGGCTGTAGTGGACATCCAGGCCTAGGGTGTTTCTGCCCTTTCAGAATGGTGCCAGCAGAGGCTCTAAAAGGCAGACTTGAGCAGAATGACAGTCCTGCCAATGGTTCAAACCTCAAAATTAAGAAACAGTTTTCATAGATGCAAAGGGTGGAACAAGCTATTGTTTGTCCATCAGTTTCTACAGCAGCACGTGCTCTAGAGACTGCAGTCCGCAGCAATTGCATCACCTTTGAGTATGAAGGATGATGTTATAAATGCCAATACATGCAGAAAACATTTTTTAATTTATATTCTTCACCTCCTGATCAGAACTCAGCTAAGCAAAATTCTAGGAATTAAGTGAATTGATGCATTCAGTCAAATATTATATTTATTTCATGGTTACTATGGATTCAACTGTAGTGTGATTTGCCTTGTAAAGTGATTGTACCAATCTATTATACAAAAGTTCGAAATTGTTGAAACAAAGAAGGACTAAAAAATTTTGCTATAGGGTTTTTCTACAAATGTAGTAAAATTGCTTTATCTTTAACCATTTGATTTATAAAAACTGCCTGTTTGTATATATATACTGGACAGAGGAAACACATCATTTATAGACTTAATTAGCCAAAATACAAATGTAACATGTATACATAAAACTTATGTAGTGGAGTATTTGGTTTTGAGAATGATATATAGGAGATATAATAATAATTCTGGGGAACTTAATCTGCTAGATACATTGTAATTCTTGCAAAGGCTTACATATTTGTACTTTGTTTAAACATTTTATTTTTATTTTTGAACCATCATCCCTTTATTTTTTCAAATAAAAACATACTTAGAAGTAAATTAAATATATTTTCTAAATACACACATTAAAATTTATGTACCCCAACTTTCAAATGCTGTGTTACGTTTCTGAACATATATGCATTGCTAGCACCTCTAGAAAGTTATTGAAACCATTAAATTGCCTGGATGATTGAAGATTAGAAACATTATAGTCTATTAATAGGACAATGCCATTCTGAGTGATCTTTGGAATATGATACTTTATATACTAATTCAGCTTTACAACCTGAAGGTAGAAACCAATTATATGGGACAAAAACTGCTTTGATGTATTATTTCTTATCTAAGACACTGTTAAAATGCTCAAATCTTACTAGTTTAAAATAAGAAATTAGGACCAAAATACATGGTGTTCTTTATCCTAAATTCCCTTTGCCTGGTGCAAAAATAATGGTTCATATTTTATCTGAGTGTTCCCAAGCCATCCTCTTCACATTACACTTCGAGGTATCATGGTGTGCAAAAAAGAAGTGTGGCTCAATTTCAGACTCAACTATCACTTCTCCATGTGGTCTCAAGTTAATAAACTTTCCTGGGCCTGAGTTTCCTCATCTCTAAACTGAGAGCATGTGAGAGTGCTCATAAAACATTATTTGAAAAGACTGGAGAGCAAGCATGAGTGAGTAGTGTCCATTGAAGGGTTTGTCCCAGTAACTAACTGGAGAGTGTTCATGCCTTTCATTCTGTGAGCTAGCAAAGATGGAGGGAAATGAACTAATGAAAGAGATACTTAGATGAATAGGTTGCGTAAACATTTTAGTGTTGATGCGTAATCAATGCACTTTGAATCAGGAAAATGCATTGAGTTGATCAAGATATTTCATCCATGTTGCTTCTTTGCTTGAAATATTTCTGTGAAAAAGTATTGCCAGTTCTGGAAATAGTTAAAAGAATGCGTGAATACTTTATTAGCTTTCCCTAAACATGCATGTAGTCATAAAAATTATGTACAGTTTTCTAACGTGTTTTCTTAAGCTGTATACAAATGCTATTACAATCGTATGTATCATTCTTTTCATTCTTTAACTTACTTTCATCCTTAAACAATTTATTTTTAAAAATTTAGTTTATTTTATGAGAGATGGAATCTCTCTATGTCACCCAGGCTGAAGTGCAGTGGCTATTCACAGGTGCGATCATAGTGCACTACAGCCTTGAACTCCTGGGCTCAGGTGATCCTCCTGCCTCAGTCTCCTGAGTTGCTATGACTATAGGTACATACCACCATGCCCAGTTATTGTTTTAATTTCTATATAGTATTCCATTTTATATCTATAACTAAGTTTATCTTTTCTCCTATGATGGACAGTTAGGTTGTTTCCAAATTTGCAATGCTAGAATTCTTTAATGGATGTTCTTGTAGTGTATCTTCTTGAGCTCATACAACATGTAGTCTAGAAGTGAAATTGAGTAGTACATAAATACTCAGCTTTATCAGATAGTGCCAAATTGCTTTCTAAATTATTTGTGCCAGTTGTATTACCACTAGTACTGTATAAAAGCTCTTGTTTCACATTTTCCTTAATAACTAATAATGTGAGCATTTTAAATTGTAATGTGAAAGTCTAACATAATATTTCATTGTGGTTTTATATGTAATATTCCTAACACCAGCACGTGTAGAGGCCACGTTCCTGTCATTTTTATTAATTATTTGGAGTTTCTTTTTATGTGAACTGCCCAATTATATCCAGGCATCTTTATATCCTATGCCAATTTTTCTACTGTGTTGTCTTTCTCTTATTGATTATCGGTCTCAACATAACGTGAATACTAATCCTATTTTGGGTTATATACTTTGCAATTATTTTCTCCAGGTTTTTGTCTTACATTCAAATTTTATTTCATGGTGACCTTGTTGGTGTAGAAGATTTTAACTGTGATGTAATAAATATTATCAATCTTTTCCCTAAGGTTTTTATGTCTTTTTGTTTTTGTCTTGCCTAAGAAAACTTCCCTAGTCCAATGTCCTCAGAAAGTTTTGAAGTTTGCGTTTTACAGTAGGCCTTTAATCTATGTGAAATTATGGTGTATGCTGTCGGTAGTATCAGTTTTTTCCCCATATGGATTATTAGTGGTACCAGTGTTATTTATTGAATCATCCATCCTTTCATCACTAATTTGTATATTTAGGTCTCAGTTTTTTTTACTATGTTCAAGTATTCTATTGACTTGTTTCTGCAATAATCAAAAACATGCATTTCTGTTTTTCTGTGAATTCATTACATGTCCACTTTGGAATGTTTCCATGACTTGCATAGTTTCGGTTGCATAAACAATAGTCCATGGACATCGATTTGCTCCTGATACTGACTCAATGCAGAGTCACTGGTATAGTCTACCAAATGTTTCCAATTTTCTACCTTCTGAGAAATGGTGGGATTGGCTCTTTCTACTCTCTTTATATTTAGGCATGACTATGAGACTTATTGCCAGTGGGTTCATTTCTGAGTAGAATCTTTAAATAGAAGCTCTAGGAACCAGCCTGTGATTCCCCATGTTTTCCAATCTGGCTCAGCAATCATGGAAGCATGGAGATAGAAACTCCCTGAGTGAGACTGACAGCAAGCAGAGCTCCAGATGACCTTCAATACCTTAATAGACCTGGAACTGAGTGAAACCAGTTGTCTTAAACTACTGGGATTTTTGGAGTTGTTCATTACTCCAAGATGATCTGGCATATCCTGACAGATACAGTTAATGTCTGTAATTTACAATTTGATAATTGGGGAAATGATAAACAAACACCCTGCATTTGTTAGAAGGTAATATTTATATATGTTAATGTCTCACTTTTCAATTCCTTCCCCCAAATGCCTTTCAATGGGTCATTCTTAGGGCACTCATATTCTCTAATACCCATGACCTGTCAATCAAATTCAAGTTAAATTTTGATAGCACACATTTTTTTTTTTTTCCTCCCAGCCTGTATTTCTTCCCTCAAGCCTGCATTTCTTCTCTTGGAGTGTTTACATTTTTAAAGAAGTTACCTGAAAAGATCAATGTTTTACCTAAAATCTTTAATGATGATGATCATCTTTATGGCCCTACAGTGAGGGGTAATTTGTATAAAGCAGGAATTCACAGCTTCCTCTTATTAGAACAATTGGTTTCTATTAACGTGATATACATGTGACAGTGGCTTTGATATTAATGATCCATAATTCCTTGTTGATGATGATTGCATTCACAAACTTGTGTGTTCAGTATCTGACTTTTATATTTCTGGAATGGTAAAGATAAGAGGGGAAAAGATAAGAAGTGGAGGTGTTACTAAAAGGGTATTTCCTGGACAGACGTATCTTTTTCAAATAATCTCTCCACTGCTTAAATATTCCTTTATATTAATAAATTCCTTCTAGATATGCAAAATCATCTCATCTTATGGCAGGGTTGGACAGTGGCGGAGGTGGGAAAAGAAAGGAACTAATATCCAGAGAACTACATTTTTAATCCGTCATACTTTAACATAAAGTACATGAATCCTTTGATTGGAATATTTGCCTCCTAACAGCTAGGAGGTGTTAGGGGAGGCAGTGGACGGTTGGATGGAGATGATGAGTCATTTTAGAGCCTGGGACGTGGCACACATACATGGCAGGCAGACAGTGGGGCTTTGGCTTTGATAGAGGGAAGTCTCAGGACCTCTCAGAACATAGCTGTGAGAAGGGATGTGGTAGTTCAAATTCCTGCTTTGTAGTTAAGAAAAAATAAACGTTGGTGTGGGTTACAGGCATTCTGAAAAATCATCTCAATTGTCAGAAGCTACCACTTATGCCTGTAATAGTTTCACTAAAGAATGCCAAACATTTCTGATATCAGAATACTATCTTGCCAGGCTTTTTCCTCCTTAAAAAATGAATGTTAATTGGTTAATTAACATTTACGTATCTCTCTTTTAGGTGGTTCTTTGGAGCAATCAGAAGATCAGATGCAGAGAAACAACTGTTATATTCAGAAAATAAGACGGGTGCCTTTCTAATCAGAGAAAGTGAAAGCCAAAAAGGAGAATTCTCTCTTTCAGGTATGGGTATTGTTTTGTGTCATTCAATATGAGCTTGAGGGTCTGCAGTCATGAGCTTTCTGTGTGAATATGGACATGATAATTTAAAATTTGCCTTATTTCTTATCTTTACAGTAGCACCAAAATTAATACTAAACTACTGAAGAGTAATATAAAAATTAGCCAAAAGATACTGTCTATGGCTAGAAGTCTCTATAAACAGTTTCAAATATATATGCTCTAGATATGAAATGGAGAACATTTCTGGTGACATTTTCTAACTTTTGCATTATCTAGGATTCTTTTAGGGAAATGATAAGGAAGAAACAAAAACTACACTGTTGTCAAAATTAATCTTGCTATAATATTTTTTTTCTTCTTCTAGCATTTCAATTGTCTTTGGTAAACACAAAATGAATTGAAATGATTAATACAAATATATGTAGTTAACCCCATATTATGTAAAATTTGGTCAAATGTAGTTTTTCACCTAAGGATCAAGTACATGTTTACACTGCCCTAGGAAAAAAGAAGCACAGGGGACCTGAAAATGTACTCAGTAGGTACACGTACCTAAATAGATGTCTTTGCTTTGAAAAAGCTGTATTTTTAGGTATATTGCCAGGTTGCAGAATATCTTTCCTTAAGACTCTACACTAGGTCATCTCTAAATGTGAGGCTTTATCTCTTCTTGCCCTGTTCTGTTCTCTGTATTGTCTAGACCTGTCATTTGTGTTATCATCCCCTTTAAACACATATTATTCTGTTTCTCCAATTAGATGTGAACCTTGTGGAGGGAAAGGCTTTGCTTCCCTATATTCCTATTGCCCTGCAATAAATGCTGATTAAACATGATGCCCATTTACCTCATTGTGTCTGCCTGACTCACCGAGCTGGAAATCAGGGCAGCCGTCATGATGCCACATGAAAGCAGGCTGTAATTCCATGTGTATTGGGAACTTTGATTTGACCTGAACTCTGGCCAGGCTGTGTGTATTTGGTACACATTATCCTTCTCCACACCTGGTAGTTCCAAATATCAGGGCAGATGGGTTGAAGCTGGAGAGAATCAGGGGCAGTGGTTTTGAGGCAGGTGTTGCAGAGTTTCCATACTTCAGGTCCTGACTGTGCTGACACTGAGTCAATGTGGTACTCCAGAACCACATGGATTCAACTTCACTACTACCTAATTCCACAGATAAGAGGTTAGAGAATGCTAGTTCTTATGTTCATTCTTGAAATATGATTATGTGTGATGTGTCAATTACCCCCCCCCCCTTTTTTTTTGAGACAGAGTGTCACTCTGTCGCCAGGCTGGAGTGCAGTAGCACGATCTCGGCTCACTGCGACCTCCACCTCCCGAGTTCAAATGATTCTTCTGCATCAGGCTCCCAAATAACTGAGACTACAGGCACGCGCCACTACACCCAGCTAATTTTTATATTTTTAGTTGGGACGCGGGTTTCACCATGTTGGCCACGATGGTCTCGATCTCTTGACCTCGTGATCCACCCCCCTCGGCCTCCCAAAGTGCTGGGATTTCAGGTGTGAGTCACCATGCCTGGCCTGTCACTTACCTTTTAAATGTTGTTTATACCCAAGATGATAATCAAAATGTCTAATGACTGATATAGGATAGGCATTAGCCACTCAGAACAGATGCTCCACTAGGCTGGGACTTCACACCAGTCCACATCTGTATATCCAAGTGATGTAAGTGAATATCTCATATAGCATTTTTTTCTCATTATGAACGAAACATAAAAAACTTTTCTATAAGCAAACAGCTTAAAGAAGAAGAATCTAGAATAAGACTTTCTAAAGATGCATTTTAAATATCAAAATGCTTTTCCTGACAGGATTTTTAAAAATTCTTGACCTATAAGTATATTTTTATGGACATACACTTATACATACATACTCAGACCCCTATACACAGAAAACCAAATTTTTGTTTTGAAAAATAGTGTTCTGAAAATGAATTTTCAGAGAGATTCTGCATCAAACATTAGCTTGTAAATAATGAAATACATGTGTGTGTTTTGTAAACAAAACTGAGCAAAAAGGAATTTGAAAGAAAGAGACTTTATTCCAGTGAAGTTTGCAGACCCAGAAGATGCAGCCTTCTGTGTAAAACAAAGGTGCATTCCAGATAACAAAGGGAGGATTATGGTTTCATAAAAAAGTTACCACCCAGGTTCCCAGTCAGGTTCATTTATGCAAATGAGGGATTAAAACTTGCTTAGTTCTGAATGGTTAATACAGCTGACCCTTGATTGATTGTTAAAGTTGAGTCCTGATTGGTTGATACAGCTGAGTCATGATTGGCCAAGGCAGGTAAGTTCTGAAAGTCCCAAAGTTAAAGACGTGTGGATTTTCAGGAAACTCAGAGTATGTGTGTGACCTCTATCAGCAAATGGACCCTTGGTTCTATTTTAAATTTAGGACCAGTTAGCTACTTGGGATCCATCTTGAAGGACTGATTCTTTCAGGTTAACTTTTGTTAATAGTGTATATATCTATACATCTATGTATATATAGATAAATATACACACATATGTATACACACATATGTATATACATACTTGTGAGCATGCATGTATGCATGTATGTGTATAACATGGATCCAGGCTCCATTTTTCTTTTCCTTTTTTTTTCAGACAGAGTCTCGCTCTGTCACCCAGGCTGGAGTGCAGTGGCGCCTTGTCGGCTCACTGCAACCTCCGACTCCTGGGTTCAAGCAGTTCTCCTGCCTCAGCCTCCCCAGTAGCTGGGAATACAGACATATGCCACCACATCAGGCTAATTTTTGTATTTTTAGTAGGGACGGGGTTTCACCGTATTAGCCAGGATGGTCTCAATCTTCTGACCTCGTGATCCACCCTCCCTGGCCTCCCAAAGTGCTGGGATTACAGGCATGAGCCACCACGCCCGACCCAAGCTCCATATTTCTTATTTCTGTCTTGCAGTATCTTGTGAACATTTTTGCATGCCCTTTAATATTCTTCTACCCTATTACTTTTAGAAGTTGCATGGGTATATCATCATTTATTTGACTTATTTTACATTTCATACATTTTAATTATTTTGCTGCTATAAAATATGATACGGTGGATATCCTTACAGATAAATATTTGAATATTTGAATATTTTCGTGGTAATATATTCAGAGGAGGAAAAATCTTTTTGAAATCTTTATGCTTAATAAGAAGATTTATAAGAGAATTCCTTGTTTAAGTACATCCCTGTTTGTTTATTTGTCTTTGGCAATACATATCAAATTAGGTGGCAGTTACTTAGTCAAAAGCTAGATCAAATGTTTTTAGATTAGCATTAAAAATACAGAAGAATGAGGCTGGGTGTGGTGGCTCATGCCTGTAATCCCAGCACTTTGGGAGGCTGAGATGGGTGGATCACTTCAGGCTAGGAGTTCGAGACTAGCCTGGCCAATATGGCGAAACCCTGTCTCTACCAAAAATACAAAAATTAATGGAGAATGGTGGTGCACACCTGTAATCCCAGCTACTAGGGAGGCTGAGGCATGAGAATTGCTTGAACCTGGGAGGTGGAGATTGCAATGAGCAGAGGCCATGCGATTGTACTCCATCCTGGGTGACAGAGTGAGATTCTGTCTCAAAAAACAAACAAACAACAATAAAAAAGAATGATACTTTCATGAGGAAAACAAACTCAAAGCAGAATTACCTGAATTATGTCTTTGAATAATGCCCAGGCTACAGTGACTGTTCAGAATACTCTCTAAGTAGAATATTATGGAACAAAACAGCTTTATAGGCTTAGAACAAAATTACAAGGATATTGGCTGTTATGTGCTGTGAATACTCTAGAGCTTGCTTATGGATTTAGGAAGCTCTGCAGGCCTTGCTTAGAAACCAGCATATCATTATGAGTTTCTTTTCAATGAAGTCAAACAATTTAGTATTTTAAACAAATTATCTGATTGCTGTGTATTCACTGGGGGACAAAGTAAATGCATACCATTATGATCTACTGAAAGGAAATTTTTCTTATTAGCCAGAGGGAAGTCTTTACAGGAGAAAAATGGAAAGAAAAAGGGCTTTCAGTATATCCACATTAAAACCAACAAACAAACAACCCAATTGCTGACTGCTGATTATCAGTAAGGATCTTCAGATACACCACTCATAGATTTATTTCTTAGTGCGGTTGTCTTCTTAATCAGTTTGAATTGATGGTCTTCAATTTTGCTGACTGCTTTGCTGCTAAAGGAAGGCAAATAATATCCCTTTTCTATCTCTTTCTTTTCCACGTGGGTTTCCTTAGAAGTATTGTCTTTATTCCTTGAGCAACAATGGCTTGGAGCTGTCAGAGAAGAGCTTCATGAGGGTGCATGATTTATTGATGCTGAGTGGGCTGAGAAGTAGCAGCCCAAGGTTGGGTGGGTGCTAATTGGGTTGTTGTGATCCCTGCATGGCTGTCTGCTCTTGTGAGGTCTGAGTAGATCTGAAAAGAGAGTTAGGGCCATGACACCTCTCATAACGGCAAGACACTAATTAGCTGTGAATTACAGCAGCACTTTTGGATATTACATATTATATGTGGTAGCCAGAGAATCTGTCTTCATTAGATGCATGACAGGTAGTTTTAGTGACCCTACTCTTATTTGTCATTGGCAGTGAATTGTTTTTCTGATGAAAAATACCAAATTCTAACTGCATGTCAACTGGTTTGGCTATTTCTTAACTTCAATCAATCACTTTAAAGGAAACTATTATTGTTATTACCATTAATATTAATTTGCTGGTTGGTATCCTATAAGCAATAGTATTATTCATTGTTTAACGTACACTTTAAAGAAAATGCACTTTATGGTCTAAAATTGAGCTGCAGCTGAGTTTTTCAGAGGAGATTCTGCATTGAATACTGTGATTTTACTTGAGGCAACTATGCACGTAAAAGCCTACAGAGTACTAGAGCTTTCAGATTTTTCATCAGTGAAACCCATTCAGCACCAAGTAATAATATATTGAAGATAATTG